GGCCCTAGCAGGCCGGGGGGGGGGGGGGGGGGGGCCCCCCGGGTTTGGGGGGGGGCCCCCGGGGCCCACCACCCCCCGGGGGCCCCCCGGGGGGGGAAACCCACCCAACGGACCAAGAGGGGGGGGGGGGGGGGGGGGGGGGGGGGGGGGGGGGGGGAGGGCACCTCGTGTTCTGGCGATGGCCTCCTGAGTCGACCAGCCCCCAGTGTGCCCCCGAGGGGGGAACGCCACGCAACAGGTCAAGAGGGCGGAGGGGGGGGGGGGGGGAGGATATGAAAACGCGTGCTCGGGGAATGGTGGGCGCGCCGCACGCTCCGGCCCCACGCCCTTCCTCGCCCTGGTGTGCGGCCTCCTGCCGGCCCAGTGGGGCTGTGCGACCGGGGGATGCCGTAGGCTCATCGGCAACCCAGGCGAGAAGGCGCGCGCTCGGAAGACGTGTCCACACGCCTCCGCCACGCAGCCGTGCGACCTCGAGTGTCCTCGCTCGCCCGCCCCCGACATACGCCGATGCTCTCGAGGAGCAGGCTGCCGAGACGGGGGAGTTTGGGGGTGCCGAAAGAAGTAACCCCCCCCCCCCCGGGCACACCCCGGCGCCATCACTGCCTTGAGCCGCGCGAGCCCTGGGCCCCCCCCCCCCTGGTGCGCAAGGAGACCGCCGGGCCTCCCGTCTTGGGGCGAAGCCACCGGGGTCGCGACCGCAGACGCGGACAGGGAGGGAAGGCGATGCCGGCCGGCTGTCTGAATACCTCCGCCCTCGGGCACATGCCAGAAGAGGGCGTACTGAGCTCCGCGCCGTCCAGACCACAGGGGCTGGCTGCACTGCGGCTACCCGTGCGACTGCCACCGGGATGAGCGTCGGTGATGGGGGCGCGGGGCGCCAGATGGCCCTGGGCCATGCAGGCGTCCACGTCTCCAGCGCCGTCGGTGGCTGCTTTTTCACGGGCCGCCACCGGTGCCTGCCTGATTGGTCAGCGGTGAGGCCCCGGCTCCCTTCCTCCCCGGGGGGCGGGGGGCGGGGGGCGGGGAAGCCGGGGCAAGAGCGCCCCCAGGAGGAGGGGCTCCCTGGTGAAGGGGAAAGACGCCCTCCTGTTCTCCCTGCCTCGGCCCCCCCGCCCCCCCCCCCTCTCCCCCCTCCAGCCCTGGCCAAACACCCCGGGGTGGCAGGTCCCGCGCCCTCCGACGCCCGCGTAAAGAAGCCGCCCCGTCTCCCGAAAAAGGCACTTCTGTGCGGTTCCCCGCGTGCCAAAAGGGGGCCTGAGGGGAGACCGGGGGGGAGGGGGGGGG